GGTTGACTAAGACAATGTGTGGAGCAAAACAACTGACTGACAAGCCTGACGCGTCTTCGATACAAGAACACATTATGGGCTCATTGAATTGTGCAACTAAGGCTCCCATTTTTATAGCTAAGGGGTGGACCACATAGTTTCTTACTATCATTAAAATTGGCAGGGTAGCGCAAGTAAGTTCGGGCAAAAAGAAAGGGATTGATCATGTGTTTGATTGATCATATTCCCATATACATCGTCCCCCTCCTCTACCATCTTTTGGACTTTTTAATAGTCCCTTTTTGGAAACGCTAGACCTGCAAAAGACTTCTACATAGCTTTCGTTTGAACGTTTATACAGTAGGGTTACATACAAAGTCGTATAAAACTAAGCTGGAATCGATAGGGTTTAAACCAATCCTAAAGTTAAGGGTCGAGGCAAAAAAATCTCTGGGTAGGTTTTAGTTAACAGTTCTGCATGGTTACTGCGTGAGACATTGGTCTGGATTCTTGTTAATCTCCATTTAGGTTGAGAACCTGGCAAAAAATCTAACAATGTATTTTCCAAAAACATGTGTAAGAAAGCTGGACTGTGTTTCTTCTAAAGTGTAATGCCATAAAATTAAAGCGTAAAACTTAATATGAAATTTTTAAAATTTCTTCTCTGAACTTCTTGGTCAAAAGGATTAAAAAAATTCCGAATCGTCTTTTTAAATCGGTTTCAAAGTAAGTCCACTGCTCACACAATTTTTCTAATTATTATGAAAGTAATTTGCTACAAAATAAAAATCTCAGTTAACCTAATTTTCGTTTAGGATGTTTACACCAAGGTCTGCCGGGCCTTGAACAAACACGAAAAGATGGGTTCACTGGAAAATGACCTTCATGTAGCCAGCTGATACACATTCCTTCACATAATAACTACAGATCTGGCAATCTTAGCTCAGATGACGATCTCGCTATCTTCCTCGTGAGCATCCACTCCTGCTTTGGCAGCTAACGCCAGTAAAATGTTCCGCTGTTCATGAATCGTGCCAATGATTGACATTTGCCGCTTCGCGACCTGCGCCAGTTCCTTGGTAAGGACCTCAAGTTTCTGTTCCTCCTCTAGCTCGGTTTTTGGATCTTCGTCGCTGAGATCTTTATCGTCAAAAGTAAATTTCCTGCGCATATAGAAAATACCTTTATTACGTAAAGTAAGTGAAAAGAATTTGTTTCTACCGGTGAGCATAAAAACAGGTTCACAAATAGTACATGTGTGTACTTATGCTTTGAATAGCTTTTGACTGGTATCGATCAGATGACTTGTATAATAATGATTACAATATTTTAATACTTGATTCTTACGTACAATTCAAGCTTATTGCGCTTTGTTCCGCTACTCTGTATGTTACAGACTACGAATCTAGAAAACAATAGCCTAAATTTGTCAAGTTTCTCCCTGGAACCAAACCTACACAATCACAGTATCCTAACTCCTTAAAGTAGTAAAGAAACAGCAACCTCACTGCATGACCATGACAATCGGTGACAGCAGTGTCAGCTATGTAATCTTAGAGATAATGCTAAGCAAAGCGGTCTTGTCGCCTAAAAGGGCCATGACATCGACTGGGCGTATCAGAAAAACAAGGCTCAAGTTTTCATATACAGCTAAGAGTAATTTCCAGTGAGTCAGGATACAGAGAAATAAATTCTTTTGGGGCAATTTGTATTTGTCAAGAAAACTATGCTCTTTGCGGATGTCAAAATAGTAGTTGTAACGGCTCTTAACCTGATCGATACCTTTGAATCCCCACCCACCCACATTCAGACACATACCCAGACGAAATTTTCCTTTCCACGTAACGTCCTGTTACCACCAACTGAGGCTTGTGAAAACGGCGTGTGATGAATCTTGGGAAATGTCTCTCGACTCCGAAAATGAAGTCGATGAACTTCCCCTTGTTCCTCAAAAACGCATATTTCTGCACTGATTCAATGTCTCCCACAGCTAAACCAACCTGTGAAAGTCAGGACACAAGCGAAAATTTGTGAACTGCGTGGAAAGTGGCAGTCAAAAACTATAGATAAAGCAAGTGCACCGTGTTATACCATAGCAACAAGTAAACAGCATTATGAACGCATTGGTAGAGGAACGTTGGCTAGGTATTAACGACAATTAATGAAGAAAACAGGCAAACAAAGAAGCAAGAAAATAATCGAAATAATGAAAACGTGTTTATGCCTTAAGTTTCCTCAGTACTGGCTATTACAAGTATAAATCTACCATATATGAATTTTCTCACAATTATCGTGAGCCCTGGAATATACAAGAACACACGTAAAAAAACTCCACGTTTAGGCACAAAGCTATGGGTAATTCCATCATGGAGCCTTAATACTTTAATCTTTATACGTAAAACTGGACTCCAAACAGTTTTCAGGGCAACAAAATAAACAATGAACTCCCAACGCCGACAATGAACACTCTATTCTAATGCCAAATAAATCATTTTAATATATATACTAAAAGCTTTTCAATCAACCGGGAGCCATAATCGGGGACGGAGACCGTAAGTCTTGGGATCCGTGCACCTATGATATGGGACAATTTTTCTATTTTTAGAACAAATTGCGCCATCCTGACGTCATATATCCGCGCGGATCCACGCACATGTCGGGGGCTC